GATAGAGGGAGATATTGACAGAAATATATGTGTCAGTTTCCCGCCCTATTATGACCCCTCGTTTCTGTCAACGTCATTTCGTTCGGATCAATTTGTGACCCAACAGAAGAGGGCATTGCCCCACCAAGCATTGCGGGGTGATTCGCTCTCGCCGTCTTCGGAGCTGCAGCCAAAAAACTTCGACAGCTCGATACTCGCCTGATAACAACATTTTGTCGAGATAGATCTATCAGTTACTTCCCATTGACGTCTTGTGTTGCCCAAGAACCTTCCAACAACATTCATCATGGCTCCCGAACGTGTTTGCCTGTAAGTCAATTGCCACTCAACTCAATTGGTACGAGCAAGATAGCTAACTGACCCTTGTCCAGTGCCTACTCTGGCGGTGAGTTGAGAGCTCCAGAAGCAATATCAAGATGAGATATCCTGACTAATTGACAGGCCTGGATACTTCCACTATTCTCAAGTACTGCGCCCCCATGTTTTACTTTATGATTGATTGCGGCAGGGAGAAGACTACGATGCTGTCAAGTGCCAAGTCTTTGAGCTCGGCATAAAGAATGACAATCGTCGAAGATGTGAGATTGTTTAACAAGAGCTGACCAATGAATATAGGTGGCTCGTCCTCCAGGGCTATGAGGTCGTGTGTTTCCTCGGAGACTGCGGTCAGGAGGAAGACTTCGATGCCGTCAAGGCCAAGGCTCTGAAGCTCGGTGCTGAGAAGATGATCATCGAGAACGTCCAGCAAGAGCTGATTGACGACTTGGTGTGGCCCGCCATTCAGTGTAAGTCTCCAGATGCTGTTTGTGGTGGTACAGCGTGTTTACTAACGGAATCCACCAGGCAACGCTATCTATGAAGGACAATGTAAGACGTTTCACCTCGGACGCTCCTTGATGACATCACTAATGCCCTAAAGACCTTCTCGGCACAAGTCTGGCCCGACCAGTATTGGCCAGGGCAATGGTGCAAGTTGCTAAGGATAACAACTGTACCATCCTCAGCCATGGATGTAAGTTGTCATGACCCAACTGGTCTCCTTACTGTTCGATCCAGTTGCTAACCCAGAACTCTAACCCTAGGCACCGGTAAGGGCAATGAGTAAGTTCTGACCAGGATCGCGACACACACGCTGTCGCCCTCTGTCGCTCTTACATCATACTAACATCTCCTTTTAGCCAAGTCCGCTTCGAGCTGGCATGGAAGGCCTGTGACCCTAAGATGAAGGTTCTGGCCCCCTGGCGCATCCCCGCGTTCTTCAACCGATTCCAGTAAGCCTCTTCTTGTGCTCACTACTACATGTCCAAGCTAATCATTCCGCAGGGGACGTGCCGATCTTCTCAAGTTCGCTGAGGAGCAGAAGATCCCCGTCAGCTCCACTCCCAAGGCCCCCTGGTCTATGGACGACAACATCATCGTATGTGTGAAAGGTCCCATTGCCTCTTCGTAATACTGACTATCGATCGATAGCACTGCTCATATGAGGCCGGTGTAAGTCCCCCTATGGGAACCCCTGTCTCTTCGGCCTATTGACCCTGAACTTGCTAGATTCTCGAGCAAACAGACAAGGAGCCCCCCAAAGATATGTGGAAGCGCACAGTTGGTAAGACGACACAGCCTCGAAACTTCTAGATTTTGCGCTAATGCCTCTCTGAAGATCCCCTGGACGCTCCCGATAAGCCTACTCGCTTCACCGTCCACTTCGCTGAGGGTGTTCCCGTCAAGCTTGAGGTTGATGGCAAGACCGTTACTGGCTCCTTGGAGATCTTCAAGGAGGCCAACGAGTTGGGCCGTGCCAACGGTAAGACTACAAATCGAGGAGACTTCTGGCGAGTACTGACATAGTGCTAGGTATTGGACGTGAGGATATCGTCGAGTCGAGGTTCATCGGTAAGCCTACTCTCAGGAAACTGTAACATCAGCACGCGATTGCTAATCTTTTATTCCAGGGTTGAAATCTCGTGGTTGCTACGGTCAGTCGCATTTATCTCCTTGCTTTTCTAATCAATTGCTGTTTTTGGAGACATCGGATGCATTGTCGATGTCTTGCTAGCGACGCAGATCATGGCCCCATCGCAGGCGACAACCATTCCACTCTCACCCGTGCACTTTAGCAGGATGTTCTAACATTGTATTTAGATACCCCCGGTCTGACTATCCTGCGCAAGCTGCACCAGAACCTTGAGGTAAGTCATCAAGTCTTTGAGAACTGGGCCAGCTCATGCTGGGGTGTCCGGCCTTCGTGTGGCAGTCTTGGCCAGCGCTCTGGGGTTGTGCCCATTGCAATGGCAATCCAGGAAGACAAGAACTACCTGAGCATGAGCCAATCCAAACACCCTTTATATCTGATAAGTTTACAACTTCAGTTGACTAACGATTACTCAGGGTCTCGTGATGGACAGCAAGGTCCGCATCATTCGCGACCGTCTCTCGGATGACTGGGCTCAATGTATCTACAACGTGCGTAGCCCCTCATATCCGAGTTCCATAGGATCGGACATTGCTGACACCTTTTCAGGGAATGTACTTTACTCCTGAGCGCGAGTTCGTTCAGAATGCTATCGCTTTCAGCCAGAAGCAGGTTGATGGCAAGGTCGAGGCTCTGGCTTACAAGGGCAACGTCATCATCGTTGGCCGCTCCAGCGAGACATCCAACCTCTACAGCGAAGAGGAAAGCAGCATGGTAAGCATCGGAAGAGGACTATTACGGACCAACACTAACATAAGAATGCAGGACACTCTTGACATGGATTGGAGTGTCGAGGACACAACTGGCTTCATCAACGTGAATGCCATCCGCATCGCCAAGTATGGCGAGCGCAAGATCAGGGACGGCGAGCCCCTTTCCAAGCGCAAGTAGACAAGCAGACTTGGGATGCTAGCCTTCCAGCGCCGCAGAAGCTTTCGATAGACAGAGGAAGGTCTGTGTGAATGGAATGGGTTATGCTATGCTTAGGAATGACTAGTACGAGAAAAAATAAGAAAAGCTCTTGTGTAATGCCTTCTTCACTGTTACTTACGCAGGTTCTGGGCCCTCAACATTATCGAGGTGAACGTTGACCAGCATGACCGTGGCTCCTCTCGGGGTTTACGGAGTTTACCCGCAACGACGTAATCTCACCTTATGTCCAATGCCTTCACAACTTCTCATCGCATTTCACCCTAAGGGATCAAAACGAATCATATACACGTTCAGCCGTGGTGCTCTCACGTGACGATGAAGTTCCAGTTCATCGACAATGATTCTACCCAAAAGCCTGGTGCCCGTAAGACAATACGAAGTCATGTTATGAAGGGCAAGAATCTTGGCCGTACAATACAAGGCCGTGGGAAGAGGCATGCTGCATCTCAATTGCATGACTTACACAAGAGCCCAGACCTATCGAAAAGGGATGTTAGAGTAGAGAGAAGAAGGAAGAGCCTCGATGGTGCTGTCGATAGTGTTGGCAATGCCTTGTTGTTCCCAGAAATCGCAGATGCAGACACAGACACTACATACTCTATCAACAATCCATACTCGGGAAAAGAGTATACGTACTTCTCGTTCCCGGTTCAGTTCACCCCGTTGATGCGATACTATGTCTACGAATGTCAGTTCATCTTGCCTTCGCTCTCCAACAACAGCTCGCTAACCAGCTCCAGTCCATACTGCGATCTGCAACATCATATACCCGTACGCTTTCTGTAGACCTACAGATGAGATTGGCTCACCATGGTTTAGGTACATGGTAGCAGACCAAGCCTGTAAATATCTCGGTCTCCCCTTCGCGAGTTTACCACTGACCGTAGCTGCAGGCCTGCACTGTCTTCTCGCCATGGCAGCGACATATCTCAACATCCTACGGAACATTCCAACTCCCAGTGTAGAAAGTATCGAAGCAACTCGTCACTTCTCGCAAGCCCTTCGACTCATGAACCCGCGCCTCTCCCAGCCATCGGCCGCTCAAGAAGACTCCAATATCGCTATAATAATCTCTCTGGCAATCCACTCAAACATAACCCAAAACCTCAATGCAAGCGTTATGCACCTTCAAGGTCTTGATAACCTCCTTACCTTCCGGCCCGGCGGCATCTCCGACATACGCGAGTGCAACCGCCCACTACTCCACAAGATCTGCCGCACCGACATCGAACTCGCCGTCGCTCAGGGCACAAACACACGCTTTGGTAACGCGGGACTCACAGCAGCAGCGGCAGGACCGATTTCAGCACGAAATCTAGCGTATCCGCTGAACCAGATGAGTGGATTGTTGCAGCAGGTCACACGTGAGCTTCTGGCGCTGTGCCGAAGACCCGGAAAGGCGAAGATGTCGGGTCTGCAATACCAGGATGTGCTTATCTCGATGTGGCAGAGACCGGTTGACTTTGCGCCACTAGGTGGCACGAGACCACAAGATCTGATGGATGATGTGTGGCAACTGGCCTTGCTGGCGTTCTTGGTTACTGTCACATGGTCCGCGAGTCATCTCAAGAGTGTACACTGTAAGCTCCTGCACAAGCTGCTAAGGGAGCATGTTGAGAGTCGCGTGTTACTGGAGAGGGGAGAAGAGTATCGGTCTTTGTGGTTCTGGGTAGTGTTTGTGTATGGGCTTTCGATGACGAATGGGGATTGTGATACACTTGTCTTGGGTGAAATTCGCAAGACTTCAGAGCTATTGGGGATAACGGAATGGGAGGAAGTGAAGGCTAAAGTGAAGCCGTTTCCGTGGATCAACATGGTCCATGACGTTCCTGGAAGGGCTTTATGGGAAGCAGCCGTGATGACTGTTCCATCTCAGTCTTCTACGTTTCTCGGTGACCAAGGGAAATCTGACAGAAATTGATGTAGATTGAAATTCAGTATACATTGGTGAATCTTCAGAATAATCTTTGTATGGCCTCCTGGTTACCGCTTTGAAGTTTTTATGCTCCCTGAGGTGTCTCGAACGATTGGAAAGAAAATACCCATTTCAGACATGATCATCTACTACGAAACATTAAAATTCTAAGAATTACTACACTTACCGTTGATTCCCATATATCTTCACCATCCGCTCTCGATCCCAGAAGTATCTTGCTCGGGTCCAAGGTTCGTATATCGGCTTGAGAGGTGTATCGATCAGCAAGCCATATTGATCGATGTCACGCATGAACGTGTATTCGAGTGGCAAATATCCCGTCGCATCGCGCAAAGTGACCCAAAGGAACGTCGTCAGGATAAAGTGCCTAGCATGGGCTTGGTCCATACGCCGTAGATTTCGTAGGAGGGAATAATCTTGTATAGAGAGGAAGATGAGGCACCTGTGCTCTTGATATGTTGTCCTTTCAAGGAACTGGCGAACTCGAGTGTCTCCCCCACGAGATACGCCCCCATCGAGGGTTTCTCTTCCACGAAGCTCCCCATCGACACGATGCATGAGCTCGCGATATTTGCCGAAAACGAAATGGAAAACGGATTCAAATGAGCGCAAGCACCATCGTACCTCCTTGAACCCCTCGAGGTCTGAAGGACGATGGTCCCACGCAGGTCTTGACATTTCTGGCCGCACGGTACCGTCTAGGCGTTCAAAATCGTAGTATATATCGTGTCGACCATAGTCGTAACTAAGGAATCCTTGCTCAAAACGAAGAATCTCGCTGGGGGAGAGGACTAAAGGCTGATCAAACTCTGGAAGCCAGGTAAAGGAAGGATCGCGTTGAGCCCTGACTCTGGCCTCACCAAGCAGCTTGTTCCATGCCTCTACAGCGTATTCCGATATAAGGGCATCAGCATCCTGCCGTTGCTTGAATAGCTCACAAAGAAATGGGAGACTGCCACTCCATTCTTTCTCGCTCAAAGACTTCGTCACAGCCGCTATCGGCCCATACATTCTTACCTGGATTTCATCAGGATCTAAGTAAGGAAACCTATGGGCTTGCAGCCGTACCTGAGCGCCTCGAACTCCGTCATAGGTGAATGCTTCGTCGTCATGATATACAGCTTTCAAAAGCTCGATTAGGGGCTTTAGAACAGACTGGCGGTAGGTACGAAACCACTGGAGAAAAATCGGAGATGCTGAGATGAATGATCTAAGATCTATCGGGGAATAAAAAGAGCACATAAGATGAACCAGCAACTCACCTGGGAGTTTTTCTAAGGGAGAGGCCATGTGCATTGTTGTTTGTTGTGGTCGTGGCCGAAGCTTTACGGTAGCAAGTGTTTCGCAGTCACAAAGTGTGGCAGAATTATTAGGACCATAGCAGGTATTTATAGTCAAACGAAAGAAAGTTTAGTCAACTTCCAGGAAATTTAATAGCAAAATAGCTAGGCTTCCATTTGATATTGTGTTCAACGACAGATTTAAGTTGCCAGAGGGAAACCCATGTTAACTTTGTGTATTGACTCGGAGCCTGAAGATGCGTGCATGCAGTCAGTAAGTCGAGGATTTTTAAACTAAGAAAAACGACAATAGACATTTTCTCTTCCTTGAGCAATAACTCTACTGCTTGGCAAATATTTCTTCAACTAAATTATTGATACGCTTGAAGTTCCAGGGCACCTTATGCCTAGAATCTTCTCAACACTGGACCCTGCAAAATCCCGAGAGTCTGGATTCGGGAAACCTGCGAGATCGGCAGTTAAACCTGGAGCTGGCATTTTAGAGCAGAAGTTTGGCTGACTTGCCATATAAAATTTGACGTCTTCGATACCGTGTAAAACATCAGACTCTGATACAAGGTGTCAAAATAAACCCAGCAAAGTGTATCTTAAAACTTATCCTAGTTTACCTAAGTCTCTTCATTGTTTAGGTAGTGTAGCTTAAGCTTAGGCGACTCTTTGGCATCCTTTTCTAAAGCCCGACGGGCTCTCTTTTTTTAAAAAAAAAAAACCCCGCTGCTAGGTCTAGGCGTTCAATAGTTCAATATGCCAACCTAATCTAGACACAGCGCACAGGCGAGAAAGGCAACCCCATCGGAGCTATTGATTCAAAGCTGAGAACTATCGACAAATTCCACACGATAAACCTAGGCCAAGACAGCGGGAATTTCCCATCATGTCAGGGGACGGGAAGCGGACGCTATCAAATGTTATATATCATGGCTCGCTCTTATTCTTAAGTGGCGTGGGCGATTGATAACCTTGTTTTTCTCAGTCTCTCATTTTAGCCTTTTGGCTTATCCGTTCGTTCAAGATGCGTTCCGTTTCAGCGCTTGTTGTGGCTCTTGCTTTTGGGAGCTCATTGGAGCATGTTGCTGCCAGCAATTGTAAGCCCTCATCACCTGTTGGAGTCAAGACGACGGATTCTGCTTCAATTACCAGCGGAACATCAACGAAATCAGCACCTCCTTCCGAAACGACCGACGGGCCAGTAATTATCACCAATGCAGTGACAAATGGCGACTTTGGAGGCTATGATCCTGCATCAGATGGTGGTATATACGCCTTTCAAGCCGGTGGTAACGCGAAACTCCTTCAAGGACCAGGATATCAAGGAGATCACACCGAGGAGAGGAATTGTGTGCAACTCAAGACCAATTTTGGAAATCCTGGTCAAAAGCGAGACTTCATATCCGATAACCCCTACATTCAACAGCAGCTCGACAATCTGGAGCCAAGTGACTTCACTGTTCGCTTCTGGTACTCTATCGTGAACAATGTCATCGCAGATACATGCCGCATCGAAGGGCTTTACGGAAATGTTCAATTTGGAGCAACTCCATACTTTCCTGTTGTCACTGAAAGCGACAGCTGGTTGGAGTTTGTCGACTCTATGCCTGTCACTACTTCAAGTGGAATGATTCGGTTTGAGCTCAACTGTATCAATGGAGGCTCTGCTGAAGTCTACTTTGACCAAGTTTTTGTCTCTAATAAGATTGGCGATGAGTGGGTTGATGGTATTTCGTTGTTCTTTCCTACGTCGAAGCATGCTGCTACCATTGCTCCGGCTCAAACGAGCACCGCTCCTGCTGTGGGCACGGCTACGACTAGCAGTGACAACACCAACACCGAGTCTTCTGGTCTTCCTACAACTCAAGCCTCTCAAGCGCAAATTACTACCGATGAAGCCTCAGCAACCGACAAGACAATCGAGTCCACTTCTGCCTCCGCCTCCGCCTCAACCTCTGCACCAACTGATCCCACCACATCGGGCCCCAAGCTCTGCGCCAAACTCGGGACAGGCGCACCTGGCCGAGGCTGCGCCAAGAGGCCTTATAGCAGCACAAAAGGCTACAAAGGGTACGGCGGAAGCAAGATCACAAAGGAGCAATGCGCTGCTCTCTGCCTTGCAGACACAGACTGCCAAAGCTTCGAATGGCGTTATTTCGGCAGCGGCTGCGCCAACACATGTAACCTTCTCGCTACGAACTGGGCGGACATCCCTACCAACGGAGGCTCCGATTCAGCCTGGGCCTACGATCGAAGCTGTATTCAGGAGGATGCATGCGCCGAGCAACCCGCTGGCTCTGTATGCGTCAACGTCAACGCTGATACACCCGCCAAATCTTGTACCCAGGTCAAGGGCAAAGCGAAAGCTTGTGCCAAGCCCTTCCTAACTGCCCAAACGAACGGTGTCTGCGGTCTTAGCAACGAATGTCGTGATCTTTGTGCCAAGTATCCTTCCTGCAAGTCTTATGCAGCGACCTTTGGAAGCTGTAGCTTGTACGACGCCAGGTCTTCTGAGGTCGCCGAGGCCGGTAGTGAGCTTTTCTGGTTCACGGATATGGATTGCCACTCTTGTGGACAGGGAAATACCTACTTCGATTACATTTCTGTTGGTCAAGACCCTGCCAACATGCCTCAGTGGACATGTGCTGCAGAGGACAAGACAAGTTCGACTCTCGCCGCACCAACGACGGCTACCAACCCACCTGTCGCAACCACATCTGGCGCTGAAGCAGCCACGAGTACAAGCCAAGCCAGTAGCGATGAGGCCGGCTCATTGACTTTCATCCCAACTACAACTTCTACATCTCCCTCCACTACCGCAAGCCTATGCGCCAACGGCGTGCCATCCCCTGGAATTTGCTCCGCAGCAAACGTTGTGCCTTCAACAGCAACATGTGGTAAGCGCGGGTGGCCACGCAACGTCGAACCATATGGCCGTAGTCTCGCTGACTTCCCTAATCAAAACACATTCGAAGAATGCGCCCTCATTTGCAAGCTCGATAGGTCGTGCAAGGCCTTTGCCATCGATCCTACTAGATCTGGGATGAAGTGCATGTTCAGCTCAGACCCAACTATCGATGGAGTCTCCAATGCACCTGGCGTATGGAGTGATTTGGAGTGTATGAGCTGCACGCTTTGCGATGATTCAGTGACTTCTTCGCAGCCAGTATCCGAGGCCCCCACAACCATGATCACATCGACACGGCCAGCTGGCGAGGATTCCAGCTCCCAAGCTGCAACAAGCGCGTTGGGGGAGCCAACCACGACTCAAACGACGCAAGCAGAGCCTACTGATTGTGCAGTACCCTCGGCCTCTCTAAGCGACGACGTCACCTGTGGTATCCCCGGTCAAAGCGGTCAGCAAGCTCAAAGCGCTCGTCTCTTAAACTATGTCATCAAACCAGTTGGAAGTCTGGCCAACTGCGCTGCCGTCTGCCTCCAACGGTCAGATTGTCAGGGCTTTGCGTACATCAAGAGCAATACTGAGTGTTATCCCTTCAGAGTTGGGCCTGCTGGTCTAGGAATTACTTATAACCCACAAGGCACGGAGAAATACTATGATAGGGGGTGCTTCTCGTGTGCTTCATGATGGGAGTATTCGTAAGAGCGGCATTTTACCCATTTTTTCCATATTTCTTGAGTGGGTTTGTTTATTTATGTCTTATTTTATATATTCAATCCTGAGATATGAATATGCCTACTTAGAGAAGTTTATAATATCTTAGGCTAGTGTATGGTATCTTATGATAACTTATTGGTATAAAATTAGGACAAACTCAGCAGCCTTTTTACAAGTTTATTTTAACTTGAGGATGCAGGCATCTCAAGCTCTCTGATGCTTCAAGGTATGCCTGAGCAAATACCTTGATAACCAAATGAAAGTGCCTTCGGCTATAGATGTCGATCTCAACGCCATTCTAGAAACCGTAACCGCCCGCTGTCATCCGGTAATAAACACTCCATCAGCCCTGAAACCGAGCCAAGCTCGCTTGTTTTCAGGAACACTCCGCCAAGATATCTCAGCCTCCAATGTTTTCACTCATCAGACCCGAAAACCGGGGAACAAGCAGCTTGGCACCGTCGCCCAGGCGGTGATATTGTCGTCCGCCAAACATAGTAGAGCAGTGAGACTCCTGATCTTTAGACTTAATCTTAAGTCTAATCGGATGACACATTTGTGGAGATGTACTCCGTAGAAACATTTATATCTGGGCTGCTGTCTCATAAAGATAGTGTCTTGGTAACTCACTTTCGTTCTAACTACATTCTTTTTATTACTACACTTACATTCTTTACCTGTCTATCGTTAAGGCTGTGCCTATCATCATCATGAAGCGATCCGCACTTATCTCTCTTATCCCCGCCTTCTTGGTTACTGGCTGCCCTGTCCCTCAAGCTTCCGAAACTGCTGGTTCTATAGTTTCTTCAGGTAGCTGCGGTGCTGCTGAGGTTGACGAGCTCGTTGGATACGGAGCAAAGACCACCGGAGGATCTGGTGATCCCGTCACCGTCACTTCTTGCTCAGAGCTTACCTCTGCTCTCTCCAATGGCGGTGTCATTCACATCGACGGTCAGCTTACCGGCTGCGATATCATGAACGTCAAGAGCGATACCACCATCCTCGGCGTCGGTTCCGGCTCTGGTCTCATTGACAGTGGCTTCCGCATCAAGAAGGCCGATAATGTCATCATACGCAACCTCGCCATGAAGAACCCTCCCAAGGAGATGGATCTCATCGACATTGAGACCTCTACCAACATCTGGATCGACCATAACGAGTTCTCTGCCGAGGGTATCACCGGCGACAAGGACTTCTACGACGGTCTCCTCGATGCCAAGCGCGGCTCCGACTTCCTGACCTTCTCATGGAACAAATTCTCCGACCACTGGAAGGCCAGTCTTATCGGTCACAGCGACAGCAACGGTGATCAAGATACTGGCAAGCTCCACGTTACTTACCACCACAACTACTGGAGCAACGTCAATAGTCGCGCCCCCTCCATTCGTTTCGGAACCGCGCATATTTACAGCAGCTGTTACGAGGATCTTCCCACCTCCGGCGTGAACTCTCGCATGGGCGCTCAAGTCCTCGTGGAGACTACTGCTTTTGTTGACGTTAAGCGACCTATCGTCACCAACCTTGACTCTAAAGAGGATGGGTTCGCTATTGAGAAGGACAACCTTTTCGAGAACAGTGAGGCGCAGATTACCCAGGAGAAGGATTTCGTTCCTCCTTATGATTACACCACCGACTCTGCGGATTGTATCTGTGATTATCTCAAGGAGAAGGCTGGTACTGGTGTTATCAAAGTCTAAGCGACGTCATATGACGTCTGCCAGGCTTGAAGGGAGGGTTCTAGACAAGTACAAAGGCACTTTATAGCTATTTAAATAGAATCTATGTACTAGACTTTCCCGCATAGCCACTGTCCTGTCTCTAACCGCTACCCTCAGTCTTGCACACGGTATAATCGGCATGCTTTACAGTTCTGCTGACCTCTCATCTTTCAGCTTAAGCGAAAACGCGCAAGCTGAGGCTGACTTGCATACTGGATTGCCAAAAGTGAGAATCAATATCCAATGACTACAGCTCATTGTATTGTGGCTTCATGCATAACAGCCAAGAAAGCCACTAGTGGCTGGTCTTCCTATTCGGCTCTCAGAAGCTGGCTTGAAAAGGGTAGAGCCTGCCCAGGCAGATATTTGGTTAGTTTTTGAGTAAGGCTGTGCAATGCCATGTTATCGAAACCTCCAATACTGTAAGGAGAAAGTGTGTGACTAGCAGAACTGACACGTACGCGCGGCTTCGAGAATCTGTATTCCTCATCCCTTTGTTCTTTCAGCTTCTGCAAGATGGACCAAGGAGGCCTCGGCACCTAGCACGCCAATTCTTCTCGATCTGAGACTTAGCATATCGCCATGCATTCTCGTCCACCCGTTTTCAGAGCCTGCGTCCAATAGCCGCCTATGCCTATGGTGCAAGTCAGCTCCCACAGCCTGATTTATATACAGCCCATGGCTATCCTTCCCAAGTTTTCCAGTTCGACCATATCACTGCAACCTTGCTCCAATGTTCAAATTATCGGATGGATGCAGTTCTACCTGCAAAGACTTCCCCAAAGAAATTCCTTCGTATGGGGATATAGGTGGTATTGGTGTAAGCCTCACTCTGATCCAGAACACCACGTACGGCTAACCTTCAACGAGGTCACCTTAGCCTTCGTACTTACGGCGTGGATGGTGGTTATTGTTCTCGTCGGGTACTATCTCAAAGTCTATGATCCTAGATTGGACCCCTTTCGAAAGGAGGGCACGCAAAGGGTTACCAAGTATCCAAACTCGATCGACTACTCGGTCCACGAAATCCTACAAAGCATTCCATGGCTCAAACTTCATTCAACATCTGTTTCGTCTCGGCCTTCCAGACTTGGAACAGTGCTAAACGCTGTAGGTTGGCTGCTATTATGTGTTCAGTCACGGGTACTGATGCTACTGTACACCGCAGTGTGTTCTCATGTTCGCAGATGTTCAAATCTTCACATCTTTGGCGATTCTCATCGGCGCGTATGCTTCAGTTGGCTGTGACATCGTTGCTTATCACTGGCAATACATGATCTACCTGGCCTGGCTTGCTTCAGTAACTCACCTCGCCAGTCTCTCATTTCTCCGCAACCATCTCGCCAATAATCCTGCGAAGCGCACATGGCGTCTAGTATCCATGTGTATAATCCAAGTCATGTTATCCGTGGCGGTTGGACTGTCGATGACTTTTGAGGGGGAACCTTGGCTTAATTCCCAAGGTGGCCGTCCTGCTATCTGTTATTTTGAAAACCGAATAGATACAAGCTCTAATGCCTCTCAGTCATCCATCAAGTTTATTATTCTTATCGCATGGGGTCTCGCTATTCGTATTGCGAAGACTTTTGAAAGCTTTGAAGGCGGCTTGCGTAGAATTGCATCGCGTCTAGCAGAATCAGGAAATCGGGACAGAAGGACCTTTTTAGGTTCTACAGAAGGACAATGGAGCTGGAGATTTGACAATACGTTTCTGCCTCTTCGTTTCTTGTTAAGCTATCTTGATCTCGCCGGCATCGGGACCTACTGGGTCGTGAGTATTCAACTTGATCTTTTCACTTCGCTTCTCGCCGAGGTACCTATGCTGCTACTAACACCCGACACAAATCCTAAGAACTTGGCTGACCCTTCGGGCAGGTTTATTGGGTATTCTTCACCATCACGTGGATTACAACGCGCCTCGTGAAACTCCGAATACCGGGAAATCAAGACGATAGCAAGTGGATGTTTGGCCAAGTTCTTCCCATTATCCTTCTCATTGCGCCTCTTGCCATAGCTATCGAAAGCTTCTGCATGGTACCAACGAGCAACGAGCTGCCTAACACTTCTCAAGATATTTCTGCGAACGACCCATACGGCATAAGGGACCTCAGTCATATTCACAGCTCAACCTATCGAGGTGTGTTCTTCCTAGCAGTCCTGTCATACATCGCGATAGCGGTCTACTTTGTTCTCGATCAAGCAGAAACGCAGAGCTTCGCCAGTACCCTCATTCGAATCAATTCGACGGTGTTTGTTTTGCAGCCCACGCTGCAGGTTTCCTGGGTTGTCTGCAACATGTGGCTTGATAAGATGGCTTTGAATATGGCATTGAAACGCACAATTCGCGATGTCGTCCTAGTCGTATATTCTTCCATCTCGCTTGTCCAAAACTTTGACTCTTCGGATGATCATGGGCCGTTAGTCCCTCCGAGTGGAAGCACTACAAAGGACACAACTCGTTATGCAGAATTGATGATGTGTCTACTGATTCTTTACGCCCACGCTTCCCTGGCTGCGACCTTTGTTCTCGACGAGATGCTGAGAGGCACAAAATGGCGTTATTTCCTGCATCTAAATCTACTTTGCGTCTCGTATTTGATCCTCCGTGCTATTATGATAGCAATACCTGCTTATCTATCTTTTGCTTCGATTCTACCTGACAAATACATACTCACTTGTGCTGGAGTATCCATGTTTCTGCTGCTCTTTGTCTTTTCCCTGGAAGTCTGGGCTGGAAAGAAGAATCTACCAAAGCGGAAGGCTTTCTTTATCAGGAGCGTTGTCTTACTCTTCCTGTGCCCATTTTGCTTGCTCCTGAGTCAGTTACTCTCATACATGATGGTCAGCATCTTCTTGGGCGGTTTTCTGTTCTCCTTGAATCTGTGGTCGGTCATCGGTCTTTGCGTTGATGGCTGCAGGCATTCGTTTGATACAGCTTTGGATGACGCTTTATTGATGGAACCTTAGGTGGCCTCAGGGAGCAAGAAAATATAAGACTTTAGAGGAGGATATTAAAACAAACTTTGAAAGATTCTCCTAAGCTTAGGCTAAATTACCTAAGTCTTTTTGTTACTTAAGATTAAGGTCTTTGGTTTTCTTCCCTCGTCTCGGGGTAGATACTAGATATCGGCGTTCCGCTCTTATATTCCGCCCCCGCAATATCCACCCCCTCAGGCCTGATGAGCTTAACTTACTTCATTTGTAACTCATACATCACATCTACTACAATGGGCACGATCTCCATAAGAAAGTTCATCCGCTGGCTCCCAGATGAGGCCTCTGAGCCAACATCCACCATAGTCGTAACATCACCACGCCTCAAGCGCTTCGTCGATCTTCGCGTTCTCCTCCCCGATAACGACCCCTCATGGACCGGCCAAGATGGTACTCACCCCTCTCCCTCTCCCTTTCTCTCATTCAAAGTTAACCAATCTTAGAACCCCTTCCCCTCTCCCGCCTTGACTGGGCCATAGCCGGCACAACAGTATCTACCAAGATCCCTGACCCAGAAGGAAACTTGACTTCCCACTCAACGTTCCACCAATGGATATCATCCCGCACTCTTGACTCCGATGCCGGCTTCATGTACCCTCAGCCAAACGATCTCACCCTTGAAAAGGGCAGTATGGTCAACCCCGATACTGGAATCGACACAGCGTATGAAGAGCTCTGGCACGATGCTACGCCGACAGCAGTACCTGGTGAACCAGCTGTCAGAGCGCTTGTTCTTCAAACGGAGGATGAGAAGATCGGAGTGAGGGGCTCGGTAGTGAGACTGGGATGTTATGCGCAGGGGCTGATCAGAGTTGGGGAGCATATTTCACTCGAGAGATGGGAGTGGAAGGACGGGTGGAAGAGGACTATTAGAATGGGAGATGCGGAATTGCCGATTGAGAAGATTCTGGGCGAAGAGGCATTGAGAGAGGGAGATACAGTTGATATCGGTGGGAGAGAGTGGAAAGTCATTGAAGAGAGTGGGAAAGATGGGTCAAAGTTGTGATAGCAGTTCACATGGTCTAAAGCAGTTAACTCAATTACGCTCATGTGAGCCTCAATTATCATCGGCGCAAACTTTCTCGGTCCGTTCGGCCGAGTTTGAAATGCATTCTGTCTACACGTCCGTGTAGCGGTACTTAACAAGTCTTGAACTCTCACACTAATCACTACAGCGATGCTGTCTTGCATGCCGTCATCACCCAGTTCATTTCGGGCCCTCCTCTCATAGCTTTTGTCTTTCCTCCCCGGTCTTTCCGTCATCTAGTAGAACCACCATCTAGGCCATCCACCGCTGAGCATCGCAAACAAACGCATTGTAAAACTTGATCCTCCTCTACCTTGATCCGTACACTAAAGCCCGCTCCGGGGACTGCCTCGTCCCGTCATGCTTCTTATAAAAACTCGAACAACATGCGTAGAAATTTCCACGGTGTGAAAGCAAAACGCCCTTCCATGGTTTAAACAGTTGTGTTCGTAACCGATAAACATCTTCTGAAACCGAAAGCTGTAAACAAGGCGCAATAAAATGGTGGATGCGCAAACGATATCACAATGTGAAGCTTAGACAGCCCAGCTGCCTCGTCGTTCTCGGACGCCCCATCCGACGGGGTCAATGCTGTCGAGGTTGGGGTGCTGTCTAGCCCACTCTTTGATATAGGATTGTAGAGCATGCCATCGAGGGCATCTCTGATCGCGAGGCTTGTCGGCCTCTGATTCGACGAGGTGGCCTTGGGCGAGTTGCTTCTCATCATCTCTCTCAAGGTCCTCAATACTCATCAAGCTAATCCGTGAAAGCTCGCCATCAAAAGCGCGGGCCATAGCAGGATAGCCTAGCGAAAGATAGTTGTACACTTGGGTGACAAAGCTGTCATCAAACTCCTGTTCAATCTTATCTTCGAGCTCTGCATGTGCCTTTTCCTTCTGCAGACGCTCATTGATACCATGCAGCATGTGGAGTCCCTTGGGGGGACCGGCCCGTGCCCGGTGCTGCGCTATGCCGTTGGCCTGGCCATTGGCTGCTCCGATCACGACAGGCTCGTCTGTGTATGGTGGAGAGCTGATTTTTGAAGCGTCACCGGGAGTGGCCGCCGGTCTGGGCGTGGCGAGCATTGGTGGGGCATGCAGGTCTGCTGGCACCAGATAGTTATCATTCGAGTCTGATCTGAAGCAATAGCCTCTCCAGAGACCATTCTGACCCGAAAGATCCCGGAACTTCTCTTCAGCATGGCGTTCTGCGAATGGGTGATCGGGCTCGAGCTTGGTCTGCTTGGGAGACGGACACCTCCGGAAGACGAGATCTTTGCCGAGCATGGGCGGTGTGACACCCAGACGCTTCTTCTGGAACGAGGGAGCAGGCGATCCGCGTCCGAAAGGTCGGTATCCGAAGGGTCGGGCGAGGTTGCGCGTGGCAGCAAAGCCGCCGGTGTCTGGGGGTATTTGAGAAGCTTTGGCGTACGGGACATCTGCAGAGCCAACGGCCGGGGCCGACGGGATGAAGGGCATCGTAGATTCGCCAATGTGTCGGGATGCTGCAGGTGCCGGGGACGATGCCTTGCTGCGTTGCTCGGCTGTCAAATAAGATTCTGTATCGAGCAACGGCATATGCGTCTCACCAATCGGACCACTAACACCGATCGATGACCGCTTGCTACTACTATCACGAGGGGTGTTTGAGGTGGTCCACATCGGATCCGGAGGAGGTTCGAGGTCCATTGCATCGAGGTCTGCCGTATCGGTTCGCATCATGACATCCTCGTCCTTCTTAACCGCTGGTGCTTCCACTGCAGGTTCTTCAACGAGGGTGTCCATCTCCCCAGGCTTCTCGTCAATCGCCATAGCATCATCATCTTTCTGCTGCTGTTCCTGCTCCTGCTTGGCCTCGACATGCTCCTGCATGTGTTTATGCCACCAGCCGAGATTGCTGTCGGACGATTGCCGCCGCACATTGTGATGGTGTTTGACGGGATGGCCATGGTGATCATGCATGGGAGAAGTGCTCTCGGGAGATTGATCGCTTCCTGAACTCTCACGGAAGTAAAAATGATCGACGTTTCCTTCACGAACGTGACTGTTGGGGAACGCGGCCAGAGCGGCCTCCTGCATCTGGCGCTCTGCCTCCTTCGCAGCAATCTCTAGCAGGAACGAAACGACATTCTCATCCTCGGATTCGCGACGTCTGGGGCCATTGGAAGGGGATTCGTGGGCATCGTCTCGCCGTCTGCCGCGGTGTTTTGTGGCGGTGTAGATGTTCTTTGTGTAAGGGGTAATGTCGGTCTTGTCGGTGGGTTTGGTCGCAGGACCTGCATCTCCAACTCTGCGGCTTCTACGGGACGATTCGATCAACTGAGGAGCAAAGCGTCGCTTCGGTCGCTGCTGGTGCTTCTTCTGCAACTCGTTCAAACCAGGCGAGGGGGAACGAGGCGAGGGCTCGGGTGTAGGTTCGGGATTAGGTCTCATTGTGCGAGGCGTCTTTTTCTCATCTGATCTGTTGCTTGATCGACTGGTTGAAAATGTGGTCTCAATGGGCTCTGGAACAAACCGTCGCCGAGGTTTGTCTGTCGTGGCCATGATGAGGGGAGGAGAAAGAAAAGACCAGGGTTCGGGAATAGATGACTCGTGCGGACTTGACTGGGTTGATGCTCGTTCGTACTTGGCCTACGTTGCGCTCGCTCGCTCACTCGCGGTGCCTGTACCTGTGCCTGTCCTGTGCTTGCGATGGAGGGGCAGGGGGGGACAAAAACAAGTGAGTAATAACAGTATTTGCCTTAGGTAAGGGCAATGAGAAGACCGCAATTGGAGTAGACCAAAGGATGTTTCGGTGGAGGAAAGGTAAAAGGCTTTAGTGGGAAGGGGGAAAGAATAAAAGTAGAAGGGAGATTAAAAATGTGAAGACGGTTTGGTTTGCTAGTGACGAAAGTCAACTTTTGCTCTGGTAGAGAAAAGCAGTTGGGATACGAGACTCCGACTGCGCGGGCGACCTTGGTTTTAGTCTAACAACAGCAGAGAGAGGCCAGAGCAAAAGAGCGGGCGGGGCGATAGAGGCACCTCACCTCACTAAACAGTGCCTTAGCTACAGTACCAGGATAGTCTGTTTTCGGTAGTAGAGGTACATAGACTACATGGATGGAATTGTCTCTGATCCATCCATTCATTCTCCTGGTGACGAGAATGGAAGCGGGAAATGGCTGGCGTCCGACGCCGGCGGTCACAAGTTCACATTTCAGTCAAATCAACGGGCAACGGACCCTTGTCAATGGATGGAGTGTCAAGTCCATGTCCGGTCAGACTCTGCTCTACCTATTCTCGCATTGGAAGTGCCGCCACAAACTATCGAACAAGTCCAAGGCCTAAGCCTCGCTATCAATTGTCCAGCTGCCTACCACGGCCTCAGAATCATCATATGTTGCCGAGAAGTCCAACTAAGAGAATCACCAAATTGCTTATCTGTCTCTATCAAACTTCTTGTTTTCAGCATCTCATCCCACATGCCACCTTTGAATGACATGACGCGGACACCAGTTCCCGAGGCAAAAGTGCAGTGCAGAAAAGACCCCTGGAACACAAGGAGAAGGGTCTGCCAGCCCAACTAAAGTTAGCCAGCCCAGTCCAGCGGGCACCATCAGTACAGTAAACTCAGAACCGAACCCAGGCGCCTGTCATACCCTGAAAATCAAAAATGGAACATTGTCCAGTCCCCTCAGATCTTGAAGTGGGTGGCAATGATGATGTTCGTTCATGGTCCCATTTTCAGGGGCCGCGTCAAGCGCACATCACATCGTTCGTATCTGGGCACTGCATTTGCTCTTTGTTGTTCACAGACTGGGCGCTCAATCTCTTCACAATGTGAGGCTCACGATAGTGTCTCTGCTATCTACCCCAGCGTCAAAAGCGGTTTCCCCGTGGGAACCATGTCTCATTGATTCTGTCAAGCCTAGCCCAGACCAGTTCTTGGTGGGGGTGTCTTGGAGACC